AATATGATATTGATCTTAGGTTTTTGTACAAAAATACATTTGATTTTTGTTGTTTGGTTTTTTTATATAAAATGATCAAAGAACCAATGAAACCATTTCTGATCCCCTTAGGTCTCTGGTTGGCACGGCACGACTTCTCCCTTCAAAAAACCACAAAATCTTGTGGCCCCGGAAGGGAGGGGCGTGTAGAGGTGGAATCGAACCTAAGAAGTTACAAGAAATCACGAAAGAAGAAATAATTTTACGGCAAATATCTAGGCAGATACGTCGTCTCGCTACTAATAATTGTTGGAGATTGTAATGTATCTTTAAAGATCTTTAACAAACTAAAAATACAAATTTGATGTTTTCAAAATATCATGAGGATATAATAAACAGTTCTAGTTAGAAAACGAAATTATACTTTTACAAAAAAAAATATACACAACCACATATTAAGTGCTTTATCTATACAAAAATAATGTATCTTAGGTTTTGTTATTTTGTTTTTTTGTTTTTTTTTTATCAAAATTTCGACCTTATAAGGACCTTGAAATCAAAAGAAGAAATAAAATACTCAATAATAATATTAGAGTTGGTGCAAAAAATAGTAACATCTGTTAGAAAAACGGCACCAACCTAATAATAATAATAATAATTAGCTGTCAAAATATAAGGACCTTTGAAATAGAAACAATCCCTGTTGTAGTTGGAGCCCCAGGACTGGTTGGAAAAAGATTGCAGTAGACTAATTGAAGGGATTCCTGGAAGTCCATGCCTCAAGGAGATACAAAAAATTGTTCTGACAAGTACAGCCCACACTTTACGAAGGGCTTTATCTATGTAATTTTTTTTTTTTCAGTGGAAAGTGTCATGATGCCATTTCTAACCTTAGGTCCCTAGGCGGGACCCGAAAAGAAATGTGTAAACGCCAGAAATCAAAGAAAATAAAATTAATAATAATAATAATTAACGTATAACTACAAATAAAAGATAAAACAGACAGACCTTTTCAGTTGATTTAATAAAACTAGTTTAAATTAATTCTTGCAGCCTAAATATATTTTATATATATGCATATAGATGTTGTTGCTATTCGAATCATTTGTCATTCGGCGTCATATTGTGAGCAGGTGACAGAAAGGTAAGGATGAACTCTTTAACTGCGAATCCTATCGACATCGCCACACCTTCATGAATCACTTGTTCAAGTGTATGAAACGCCAACTTTCAAATGTCACACTCTCATACATACATTTACCCCAAGGCTGTAACCACGGTACTTCGTATATATCTGTTCTACTCACGATAATAGCAGTATGGCTGATTTGCAGCTACGATCATATCAAGCCAGACACCTGCCTCCAACCAAATAATATTAAGCTGTTAAAGGGGGGAAAATATGCCTTTTGTTGCCGTTATTATTGTCGTTGTTTCTGTTCTTTTTTTAATTTTTCTTTTTAAAGACTTTTTATAAATTTATATACTTTTTCATTTTCTATCTATACATTTAAGCTTGACGTCCATATCTCTCGAGACTTTTGAATAGATATTTCTTGTACTTACTCAATCTTGGCAATTTCATGAATCAAGTACCCAGTAAGAATCAAAACCACTCAGGTACCTCGAATTTAAGGGTGCTACTAGACTAGAAGCTTAATCTCATAATTGCTGAAATTGCTAAATGTAAGTTTTATTCTAAGAGTTTCTTCTCTCGCACTTCTCGCCCGTGGACCACTTTTACGGTTTCTTACTTTCCTGTCAACTTCAATATCTAAAAATTAAAATGCAACGTAAATCGCCATCTTCTGTCTCCTTGAATCCTGTTCTTTTTATTGTCCTTTCTCCTCGGTAACGTTTTCTCAATTTCATTTACTCTGTTGCCTTTCATCCTCTGTAACCCTCTTACGTCTTAGCGGCTTTGTCACCTTGCTTAGGGGGAAAAGACTAAATCAAAACTCTCTTTCAGGTGACTGGAGTAGCGGTATGGTTAGCAAGCTTGTCTCGTAAACCAAATCTAATGTCTTCTTTCTTTTACGATGTGGGCGGTGATGCCCCGAGCATCATTTTCAGAATCTCTTGAAGGAGGCAGATTGTTATAAATATGCCTATACCACCAACACAGTTTCATCAACCACTCAAAAGTAATTTTAACCATTTTCAGCCGAGTGAAGAAAACACCCGCAAAATGAAACATAACTTTCACTCTCTCCCCGGAACTTTTAACTAATGAGGACAGAAAAATAAAACCCATTAATACATTTTCCAAATAATAGTTTTTTTTTTGCTCTCCAGATAAATCCATGTCTTTTATTGTTCTAAGTAACTTTTGACCCTTCACCCTCTTTCCCGCTGTTTTGTCATCCATCTCCAAAGTCTCTAGGATACAAGCTGTTTCCTCCTGCACCTCTTTTCATACACACTGTAAGTGTTAAATTCTCGAGGCCTTCTTTCCTTATTATGTACCCCAGAAAGTTCAACAATCTCTTTTCGATAGTAAATAAAGTTTTTCTTCTTAGTTCTATTTTCCTTAAAACTTCCTTGTTCCACACGTTTTCTGACCACGGTATTCTTAGCATTGTTCTGTAGAACCATATTTGTATCACTTCAGGTCTCTTTTTCATCTGTGAGGAGATTGTCCAGCATTCACTGCCATATAGTAGACTAGAAGCATGGCTCGGCGTTGCCCGTGCTTGATTCAAAGATCGTACGACTCATACAGCAATCGCTATCACTTGGCTTAAAATATTTTTGCCCTTCCTCGCCTTTAAAGGAGTGCCCTTTGCCGTGCTGATGTTGCTACATGCCTTACTTCTTGCCTATCTCACACTGCGAATTTTTTCGAAGCTCTATAATAAACATTAAATCTGTTACGAAAAAAGAACTAAACAAAATGAACACAAAATGATCAGCTTTAAAAAAGAACTCGTAACTGGAAAAACTGAATGAAAAAAGAATGTTAACAACACATACTTTTTCACACCCAACCCAGTTCTGCGCAATCAGAATCAACGTTGAGTTTAAGCAAGCGAATGAGCCAATTGGAGTAAAGTGCCATGCAGATTTAAATTTTTCCCACTTGTGACGAATGCAGCTATCGATTTTTTTTGCATGCTAGCATGCTAGTTAACATTCGTGTCAGTCAGCTGTTGGCTCTCACGCTGGCCAATAGAATCTTCTTGCCTATTCGTGGCAGCTATCTATAGGCTCTCATTCTGGCCAGTACAAAATGTCCGCAAACTACATGAAAACTGCCGTGGAAGCATGAAAAAATCGATTGTTTCCACTATCGATGGGAGTTGGGAAATGCAAAGTCGGTCTTGGCGTTTCCGCTATCTTGGAGTATGGCATGCAAATTTTGGTGCAAATCCGTCGAAAATTGCGGCCGTGCATTCGTTACACACACACATCCTGCCTTTTATAGATAGAGATTACATATAACATGTGCAGCTCAGCACTCTTTCCATTTTCAAATGCTGATTTTAAAAGCAATCTTTCAACACTGTCCCCTCGATCTTTTATTCATTTTAGCAAAGATTAATAAATATTTTACGTTGAAAAGGTATGAGTTCATCTCTTCTCCCCTCTTCCCAGCTACGTGTAAATAGCAGGACAGGCTGGGTTCTATAGCCTTGCGTGGTAACCGGTGTAGGAGAAGGAAAAATTTTAAAAAATAACCTCGAGAGGGTTCGCCACCATTAAGTTATCTTGCCCAGGAAACACCATTGCTACTGTGATTGAAGTACATAAGGTACCCCTACGACCCTAACGTATCTACAAGGAATGGTACCCCTAAGTATGGTACCCCTACGACAATAAAGGGTTACGGGTCTTGTGATTGTGATCAAATATTAGTTATGTTGTCATCAAAAGGCACGTCAAAAAAATCCAAACTAAGAACTGGAGATATCAAACTGAAGCACGTACGAAAAATTAAATATTTAGGAAGTGTTTTAACAGAGGACGGGGGAAAATGACACCGAAATCCGAAGGCGTATTTCAATAGAGAAAGTTGTCTTCCAAAAGTTAAGCAAAGTATTAAGAAACAGGATAATTCCGTTAGAAACAAAGAAAAGAGTGCTGAAATATCATGCAATATCAGTCCTCTTATATGGCAGTGAATGCTGAACAATCTTCTCACAGGTGAAGAGACTTGGGGCAACAGATATGAAGTTCTATAGAAAGATGCTGAAAATAGTATGGATGGAATATGTAAGTAACAAGAAAAATAGAAACAAAAAAAAGACACTTCAACTTAGAATCAGAAAGAGATAGTTGAAACTTCTATGCCCTGTAATGAGATAAAAAGGGCTTGAAGAATTTGACACACACAAGACATATTGAAGACAAAATCAACAGAAGGAAAGCGAGTACCCTAGCTAAGCTTGTTTAAATGGATGGCAAAACTGGGCCTGTAATAAATGGGGAAAAGACTAACTTACTAAGAACTACAAAGCACAGAAAGTTGTGAAGCACCATTATTGTCTACGTTCAAAAGGGGAGGCGGCAAATAGGAAAAAATCTCATTAATTAGTTTTATCCGTTTTTTCAATAATTTGAAAAGATTTTAGATTGAATTTTTTTTTTTTTTTACGGCTTATTACTCTTTTGCAGGTTATTTAAGGCTAGAAAATGTTTTTCAATTATGGGAATGTTTTTATTTTATTTTTTATACTTTTTATTTTTATTTATTTACTTTTATTATATTTTATCATTATATATCATATATATTTTTATATGTTATTTTATTATTTTTTTTATTTTATTTTTACTTATTTTTTCATACTTTATGTATACTTTTTATTTTTTTTCATAATTTTTCAATTATGACAATTTTTTTAAAGATAATAATGATTTAATCATACAAATCCTAATTAACCGATAGTTCTGAGGTGGATTCATGCCTTTCCCAAGTGTATTTGCGCGTAAGTGAATATAACGAACCCGACTGGAATTGGAACACGGTTCTCCGAGTTCCAATTCTAAGACGTTATCCATTACAACACCCACACAAATTCAAGCTTACAGAACCTGGTATTCCCAATCAATCACCCCTCTCGGTACTGACCAGAATCGACGATGCTTAACATCGATGATCGTACGAGAACTGGTGTTTCAACGTGATACGGTCGCAAGCCTAATTTGAAAAGGAAACAGTTTTTTGATGACAGCTTTTTTTCTTAATAAGCCATCTACTCTCAAAGCAAAGTACTTGGCTGTTAGGGGATGAATTTTAAATTTAAATGAAAGAAATTTCAGTCACGTGAAGAGGGAAAAAATTGACATCATGACAATTCAAAACCGGGGGAGAAAGTGAAGAAAACTGGTATCACAATGGAATTTGTTGATTTGTTTTTTACGACTTATCAAGCCTTTGTTGGTTAATTAAATACGAAACATGTTTTGAATTCTAAGAACTATTCTGTTTTTACGAGTTCTGCATTAGTATTTTTTTTTTCGAATAACAATAATTATTCCAGTTACAAGTCCTAATATTTATTCCATAACTGAGGGGAGGGGGAGGGTATTTGCAAGTAAGCGAATGTAACGAAACCGACAGGAATTCGACTCAGCTCTCCCATTTCGCATTCGGAGCCACTATCCATTACACCACCCGCACATCCATGAAGTCACAAGAGGAGGAATGTGACCTGGGATTCAAGAACAACTGGTCTAGATTAAGTATTGACTATATAAAGTTGGCTGGGAATTTACGGCCACATCTAGCCAGCTCAACAGTAAATTGATGAGACGTCGTCGCTAGTCTAGTACTGCGCTAAAATTCAAAAAGGCTACGTACCATAGCGAAGAGATCATCGAAACAATTACCATTAAGGTATTTACAGAAAAGACACAGAACCAAACTGACGGCGGTGGAAAAGTGACTAATTCTTCTTTGGATTTCATCAAGGAGCTCAAAGTAAATAGCAGAGGCACCGGACCATATGTGGCAGCAATATTCTAAGCATGGACGAATGGTAAACATAGATATGTATGATAGAGTCTGGAGAGAAAAATTGTCTCGCACGACACAGTTGCTATACTATTTGTTTTTACCGCGGTAAAACATAAGAAAGTTTTCTTATGGATAGAAGGATCGATACACTGAAAGACTTTGGAACAAGGAGGGTTAATACATAAAATCCGTGGGAAGGATTGACAATTTAATTCAGATATAGACGACACCTGGAATTGGTGTGTCGAGGGTTTGAACAATGGAAAATGACCCAGTCACAGAGGGCAATGATGATTGACATGTGTTCTGATAATTAATTGCATGCGAAATCTGATATAACCAATTATTGTACGAAGGACTGCTATAAAAACTATTTACTTTTTGTTCATTTTAATCGAGTGTCTTTCTTCTTGTATGTCTTCGCGCTGCTTGGACCAGCCCAACACAAAGATACCTGCGACGATTCGATCTTGGCCTCCTTATGATCAAACTTAAATCACAACGTGGGATAGGGTAGGTCTGAGCTCGAAGTGATCTTCATCGATCAGCCGCGGTGTTGGAAGTCTTGGACGGCCAGGGAGGGTGTTGTACGATTACACAGTGAACCAACTTTTTTTCGCAGCTGACCTAACAATGGATTCAATATAGTCTATGTCAGAAGGCGTAATAAGTCACTTTCCTGGAGGTTAGCATCAGCCATGCTGATTTGTTTAGTCGATAGTAAAATATGAAAAAGAACTTCAACTTACGAATCTTAATTTTTTACCAAACTGGGCGCTTCTATTAATATTTATAACATTTTACTTATTTTTTTATTCGTGATCTAAATCTTCTTTATATCCCGTGTCCCCTCGGGACGTAGGCGATCATGGCCCTTTACAATTTCCTATCACTTAAATCCACTTTCTCAAGCTCGTCAAGTATGTTATGCGTTATTTTCCTCTGTCCCTCTTGCCCACAATCTGTCCTGTAACAGATTTTCCAAGCCATAGTTATATGACAAAAAGTTAATATTTCTGATAGCAGTGCCTACTGTAAAGCCCACCTAACTTTTTCTGAGCCTGTTTCAGTTCTTAGATTCTTAAGCTCTCAGAAGGAATAACCTACTTAGAGGTACCGATTTATTGTTTAAAATATGAGAGAAGAATTACCTGAAATTTTACTTTAAAATATACAGGGAAGTGCGAAAGAAGAAGCTGTTGGAGTAGAAGAGGTGGTTATATTTAACCACTTCAACAGTAAAAGGGTGGGACTGAGATGCCAATCTAGTAGCACGCTTAAATTCATGCAGTCGGGGCACCAATGAAAATAGCTCGTCAGAGGAGATGCCATCAAAATATTTATAGAAAAGACACAATACGTCCGTGAGAAAGTGGCTGGAGTCGAATCACCAAGTCGGGACCGATCACATTGCATATCTGTCTTTGGATTTTCTCGAGAACTTCGAGATGAACAATGGAGGCACCAGACCATATATGGAAACAGTATTCCATGCATGGACGAATGGCAGATATATAGATGTGATATATATAGTAGATATATAGATGAACTCAAACGAGAAAAGCCTTCTGGTGCGACACAGAGAATGAACTTTCCTTGCGGTAGATGCAGCTATTATTCAGTGTAGTTGTTCCACCTCGGGTCAGTGGAAAACGTGACGCCAAGATGTCGCAGTAAAGTGCAAGTTGAGCTGAACATCAACCATGCTGATAGGAGGCAAGGAAGTTTCTATATTTCCTGCCCCAGTCAACAACAAATTGGAAGTTCTTTTCGAAACCAATGGCTAGCTTAACTTTGTCAGCAATGGCGGATTTCCTATTGAGACCGGAGTAAATGCCTACTTGAGAACTGATGGCGTCAGGAAGATCACTGATAAAGATCAAAAACGGTGTAAGAAGAAGGACAGAGCCTTGAGGAACACCAGCGTTCGTATGAAAGGAACTGGAAGAGAACCCGCTTAGGACAATCCTCATTTCACGGTTAGACAGAAATACTTGGATTAAATCAAATAATCGTCGTGTAATACCGTATCCCTGAAGCTTACTTAGAAGGCCAGCATACTGTCAAACGCCTTCGATATATCTAGAGCAACAGTTCGAGCTTCGCCGTTATTATCAAGAGCTTGGTATACGTATTCAATTATGGTCGTAAGCACATCAACAGTAGACAGGGCAAAGCGGAAACTATATTGTCAGAAAGCAGATTGTGGGAGGTGAGATGTATAACTACTTCGGCATTGTTTAAAGCTGCGAAGACTTTGCCGAAAAGTAGTAGGAGACTGATAGGTTGGAGTTAGATGAGTCAGAAGGGTCTCCAGACTTCTTAAACACCGGGACGACAGAGGGGGACTCGCCAACAGACTGGAAAGCAGGAATCGACGAGGTAATAGTTGGATAGTTTGGACAGAACTGGAGCCAGCTCATGGGCACATTTCTTTAAGACTACGACTGGTATCTCGTCACCACAACTTGCTTTATGAGAGTCTATTTTAGAAATGATGTTTAAGATCATCGACGGGGTTATGCCCATCTCACTCAGTATAACCTCAGTTCTAGGATGAAAATTAGGTGTGGGTAGCCCGGATGAGTTGTGTGTTGTGTTGAATGACAATTTCTGAGCAAAGCATTCAGCCTTAGCAGCTGAGGATATTAGGACTTCGAATTGATTGAATAGAGGAGGAATAGAGGATTTGCTATAGTTCAGCACTGTCTTGCATAGCCGCCAATAATCTTTAGAAACAAATTTGCAAGATGCAACACGTTTCATTCTATCAGCAAACAGTATATTTGCTTCATTGAGGACACGCTTGCGCTCATTACGAGACAACGGAACGTATGTTGCAATCAGACATGCCATTCTGGTACAGACGCAAGATGTGATTCCGATGGGCTATGGCGGCAGGGCAAGCAGCTGAGAATCAAGGAGATGAGCATGATTTAATTTGGTATTTTCTTGCTGCGATGAAAGCACCGATGTCGACCTCAGACGCACATTTTATTACGGGATGATTCAAAACCACATTCCAAGGGACGTCGCAAAGGAAATCACGGAACGAGTCCCAATCTGCGCGTTGATAACAGAAAGATATTCTGTTAGTAGGAGGTTCATAGCTGGAGGGGGAGTGGGCGAAGATGTTAACAGACACCACCGCGTGATCAGAGTCGCCAAGAGAGCAGAGTTTCGTAGCGCGACAAGAATCAGAGATGGAAGTAAAACACAGATCGAGAAGGGAAGTGTTACAGTTCTGATTATTGAAGAAACGTGTAGGAATTCGGGAATTTGTTTGGCGAATTGTTTGATGCCGCAAAGCTCAATTAGAAGCTGATAAGTTTCTGTTGCTTGTAGTTGAAGGAGTGAATAAGATGAGTTAAGAGATATGCAATGTTCGTACATACGTGTGTGTGTGCGTGTGTCATAGCGTCTTCCCATAAGGGACAGATGCGGGCTCTCATTCCTATTGTTGTGGTTCTGGGAAGAACAGAGGAAAGAAGAAGAGTTGAAAATGTGTCCAAGTATTTATAACATTGTATGTCACGAGATAGGCTCGAAACACATAGACAGATTTTGGCGGTAAATTAATTTTAACCGTGCGGACGTAGACGAAAGCATGATAGTGGCATTAATTGACCAATCAGGAGTATTATCAAGGCTCTGTAATCCGCTTTCTGCACAAAATTTGCGCTCAAAAGCAAGTAGTAGCAGAAAGCTAAAATAGCTTACTGAATTGAGGAGAGATAGACAGAGACACATATACGAATGGTCTGGAGATTCCAAAGAGAGTTCCCTGGACAGCGGGAGGTGATCACGGATATAAACTCCCAGGCCATGCGTATGGATTTTAGAGTCTTTTCTAAAGATAGCCGGGAATCGAGAAATCAGAAGGGATTTATGAGTTAAGGTTAGTCCCGCAGAGAGTTAGTATATCAAGAGACTTATCAAAGAGGAGCGATTCCACGCTGCAGAAGTTGGCATGAATACCACGGATGTTGGAGAAGGAAACGTTAAAGGATTTAGGTGATTTTTTAAGCTGGTTTAGGTTTATATTTTTGGTTGCTTATGGTCATGTTGAATTATGTTGATAAGTAAAAGGCCTAAAGTAATAGAAGCAGTCGGTAATTAAATGTGACATGAGCAGAAAAGAAACTGGCGCAATCTTCAACAATGTGGCCTCGGGGTTGC